GGGTCCGGGCACTCAAATGCTAAGGCAACCTTTCTTACCTTTTCCTCCGCAACCTTCATTTATGAGGCTAGCCATTGCATGCACTGAAAACTTGGGTGTCCGTTCAAAAAAAGTCTCACACTGCTCCCTCACTGTGCAATTCTCTCTCCTTTTCAGCAACCGACTCCCTTCAGGCCAAGAAGCAATCGACTTTCTTCAGGACTCTCTTCTCTGCTCGCCACATCATGCTGCAAATACTGTTGGGAGATGTTAGGAGTAAACCACTTTACTTAAGTTCCCCCTTGTGTGATCAATGTTTTTCCGGCGCACATTCGGCTGCTCTCACTGTGGCAAGTTAGCGTCGCTTCCGCTGCATTTCATTACCCGCTGTTCTTGTATCATACTAGCTGTCTGGTGCCTCGCTCTCCCCTGCAGGCACCTCAAGCCAAATTAGCGACCCACGCGCTTGCTCTAAAAGCTAATCGAAAAGCAAGTTCATCCCTTGACACCCCAGCGGCGTCCTGCCAGGTGAGAAATCTGCCCGATTGCGATATGTTTGTGACATGTCATGACATAGCGACATGCCCTGACAGTTTCACGCCTCCAAAAGCTCCAGGCGAAAAGCTAGACTGCTCAATGGAGCCTGCTACAAGTGGAAAGAATTGGTGCTTGACTTTAAACTTGTCCTGACGACTGGTGTTGACCATAAACAAAAGCAGTTTGCTTGTCACATGCACTTTGAACCGCTTTGACACACATGGTCCTTAGCGACTTTTGGTTCTCTTCACACGCGATAACTGATCCTGGCAGCCAGCGACCTGGCCGCCAAGAAGCGCTGGTGTGTGTGTGGGTGTGTGCGCGCATGCGTCCGTCTGTGCTCCGTGTTTGTCGTGTTTGCAGTCCTGGCCGCCAGCAAGCTGGCCGCTAGGATGCAGTGGTCTTCCATTATATCCCTTTTGGTTCTGACATTGGCAGTTCTGCTTCTAGCAAAATAAGTTTCTAATAATCAAAATTGCTGTCTTGAAGCTGACAAGCACTGGCACTGCACCTTTTCTAGCAGCCTCAAGTGGTCCTGTCTAACCTGCGATCGAATCTAAACGAATTTAAAGATGCACAACACACGCGCATGCTCTGCACGTGTTCTCCTTTATTTTGGAACACTTTCCAACTCCCTCAAGCCAGCGACGAGCAAAGAACTCAGCACAGGAATGCTGATGGCATTCCCAGCAAGGCGAAAACGTTCTGTTGCACTCAAAGATGCAGCTCGGATCATGTGCTGTTCAATTCCTTGTAGGCTCAAACATTGAAGAGAGTCCAAGCATACACCGAAATTTGGCAGGAACAAGCGGCTGCAGCTTGTGGTCAATGTTGGCGCACACCCATCAAGCCTGAACCGTGCTCGGTGCACACTTTGGCTCAAGTCAACGATGACATCATCTGCAAACAAATGTGTGATGCGGCTCAGAAGGGACAACAAAGTCCGTTCTCGTGGCGAGCGGACTGCTCGGCTGGCAGCTAAGCCAATGCTGTTCGCGACTAGAAAATAGTCTGGAAACCTCTTGAGCGGCTTGTTCTTGCTTGCCTGCTTGATGGCGCGCAAATACGCTGCGCGCTTCTTGCGAAACCAAGCAGATGACAGCGTCTGCCGAAGTCTGCCGCGCCAGTGGCACTGCATGTGGCCTCGTCGACAAGCAAAGCAATGGCATGGATGCTGAGGGCACGCTCGTGGTTCATCTTGCGCCGCAGCCACCTCGAGATCACAAGCTTTGCACAAAGGCTCTGCTTGCGCAGAGACTTGCTTTTGGACTGGCAAGCCTTTTGCTTGCAAAAAACCGACCACAGGGCCACATGGCCTTGTCAACTGCTCAATGTTTTCCAAGCAGCTCCGGATGCTTGACAGACTAGCAAGAGGGTTGGTAAAGATGTCACGGCGCAAGCCAATGAAAAACAATCGCTCCCGACTCTGTGGGAGACCATAGTTGCGAGAGTTCAAAGGGAAGACTTCCCATGAATAACTTCTCAGGCTATTCAACCATGTCTTGGACTTGAGGGTACCAAGGCCCTAACTGCAGCCCTCGGACATTCTCCAAAAGCCATATCTTCGGCTCGCAGCAAACCACAGTCTTCAGCGCACTCAGGAGTGTCTTGGCTCAGGGTGGGACCAACCACGCCGCGAACCATGCATGGACCACGGGCGGCATGACACCCCTGCCAAGAAAATATCTACGTCATCAATCTTGCCAAATGCGCGCTGCACTCCACCCGCATCTGTGGATGTAAATGACGAAGGCTGAAAATCTCTTTGGTTGACATCGCACAAGATGCAAGAATACCCTTGTCCTTCAAGGGTAGTGTGGAGTCGGCGATTGATTTCAGAGGCCCACACACCTTCACACGCCACACCCATCGCCGACAAGGCTGCCATGCAAGGCCCGAATCCTGCACAATCCTCAGCAACCCGGATGGGTGTCTGCTTGACACGCCGAAGTTCATTGGCGAGCTGCTGGCAAGCCAGCATGTCTACGCCTTTCAAGCGCAGTAATATTTTCGATTTGAACACACATGGCCGCTCAAAAGAATAAAACTTTCCGTCGCAGCTAAACCCCACAAACCCTCACATGTGAAACCGGGAGCTAGTAATTCTGATTTCCTCTGACGCCTGCAGTCTTGCATTGCGCAGTTGCCACTCCGCAGCAGCGTGTCTCAACCTGGGAATTTCATGGCATTTGGACAGAATTCGCCTCTGCACATGTTTGAAACACCAGGTGAGCTAAGCGAGAAGTCCGCAGTGATCGAAAGGTCATCGCTGCTATTTCAACAAATAGATGCAGAAACCGGCCACGAAGGCCTGAATATTACGCAAAGGTTTGGACAGATCTCTCAAGCTTTACGCGCAGCCGTTTTGATTCACACTCGGCCACTCGGTGATAGCTGTAGCAGTCACTGCCAGGCAGCGCGCGCCTCTGCGCACGCTCTGGCACAAAAAGGCTGCTAGGGAAAAGGAAAAGTTTTCACGGAAGAAAAGCTGTCAACTGCACGCGCGGCACACTCTGTCGTAAACCAATCACTCCACGTCAGTGGGCGAAGGCCTTGAAGCCTTAGCCTTCAACTGAAGCTTCTCGTAAGGGATCTTCTTGGTGGAGACGTCTTCCATCTGAACCTTAGCGTGGTTTGTCAGCAGCCCGAGGATGAGGCCTTCTGAGCCGTTGAGACTCTCGAAGCGGGAGGAGATGATGACAGTGTCGCCAACTGAGAAACCGTTTTTTGCAACCTTTCTGGTCAGTGTTGCTGGGCGCAGCCTCTTCAGGCTCCAGCGCTGCCTCTCCACCAGGCTCCGGCAACTCGCCCTTCACTCTGGCTGGCATCTCTGGCTCTGTTGCGCCCATGTTTCTCAAAAAAATCCTCCCACTCAGCTCCTGCCTCATCTCCGGTGGTCGAAGTCATCAGCCTGTCTGGTGGGCGGTCAGCCAGGCCTGTGAATCAGCTTAGCGTCTGCTAATTTGCAACAAACACGTAACCCAAACCGCAAAGCCCACCTTGCAACCAAAACGTGTAGCAAATCTTACAAAGCTTGTGCCACGAACCTGTGAGCGATTGTGAACGCAAGGCCCACCTTCAAGTGCATCTTGGTTAGAACCAGCTGAACGATCACCAGCAAACGCTTCAGGGTCATCCTTGCGCTTTTTCTGGCGGGTGGGGATCGCCTCCAAAAGCAAAGCGAAGCACATCCAAGAACCCACAACAGCATTCACAAAAGCCTTCATGCGGCCTTCAACGCTCAAAGGCATGACTAGATCAAACGCCTCAAAACACTTTGGCCGCTTTGTCTCGGCTTTGGCAGCCTGTGGCGCAAAACAGCACACCACCAATCGAACCACACATATGCAGCATAGGTGTTTTCGCCAAACCACGACCTGTAACCGCCTCTCCACAGAAACAGGATGTCAGAGTGGTGACAAGATGTGATAAGATTGGCAGCGATCATTTTGTCCGTCGTCTTGCGTTTGCATGCGCGCGTGTACCATGTTGCTCTTGTCAATTTTTTACCATCCTGGCCACCAGCGAGCTGGCCGCCAAGAAGCGCTCGCTGGTAATCTATTTTGCCCTGTTTGTTGCGCGCGCGTTTGTTCATCCTGGCCGCCAGTGAGCTGGCCACCAACCAGGAGGCTTGTGCGTGCGCCTGTTCCAAGTTTGTAGCCAGCGGGTGCCACCAGGAACTTTCACAACAGCCTTTATTCTGCCTTCAACGCTCAAACACATGACTAGATGGAAAAAAGATGAGTCCATCTCATAGATGGTCAAATGCCTCAACCAACTTTGGCCGCTTTCCCTCGGCTTTGGCAGCCTGTGGCGCAAAACAGCACACCACTTGTCGAACCGCAGTTTCCAAACGTTTCTAACCGAACACATTGGGCAAGTGCTGCTGCAAGGGCACCTTTCTCAAAGGCTCTGGTCCGTTGCCTGAGAAGCAACAGCATGCAGTCACATTGATGGTACATCTTGTTTAGATCTCGTTCTGAACATGATGGAAACATCAAAAAAGCCTGTGCCCTGTGCACTGTAACCAAGAATTATACGCCAACATCTGTGAATGAGCACAAACTAGCATCACACACCTCCAGACTGATTCTCAGCAAATTTGTCTTCGGCGGGAGCATCAGAGCCACTTTTTCGTTTGCCATCAGATGCCTGCCAATCAAAAATGTAACTATAGTTGTGGTTTCTCGCTTTCAAGGCCTCAGCGGTCTCCGCAGCTACCCCGGCAATGGCCTCACAAAGTGTTTTCATTGCCCTGTGTTTAAGCCAAATCACGACCTGATCACCGTCTCAGCACTCTCATCACATCACAACGCTCATCCCATCTCACCCACAAAGGTAATCCAGTTAGAAGCAAAATTCGCACTCAATCTCACGAAGTTGAGTAATGCGTTACAATTTTCGATCGCAAACTCTGCTCAAATTTCACCATAGAGGATAGTGGCCCTGCGCCTCCTTGGTTCCACCACTTGTCAAGCCGTCGCCTGAGGCTGGAGGTGTCTGGGCCTGTAGAGGCATCCACTGCGCATTTACACATTCTTGTCAGCTTCACAGTAAAGCGTCGAAGTTGCGACCCTGCCTCAGGTTCAGCCTTTTGGCCTTTGGTGGCTCGACCCTTGATGGTCCACTCCAAAGCGAGCTCAGTGGAAAAGGGCTCGATCCGGCCACAGGATCGGAAAATGATCACTGGGTCCTGTCGCGTGGAGAATCTCCATTCCGCTGTCAAGACAGACAGACCTTCGGCTGCCCCACTCAGGTGAATGTGACACAGGAGGTCACGAGAAGCATTCTGCCGCAGCCCTAAAGCAGTTTGTACAGTGCCAGACTGGCTCTCAAATTGGCAAAGCACACCTGTGTGAACACTCTTTGCGTTCTCCCACTTTCCTGAACATTCGATGACCACCTCTCCGGGCTCGAATGCTTTCGTCGGAAAGAGTGCGAGGCCTTGCCGCTTCGTTGATGGAAACACCATCACATTGCTCGCCAGCATGTCCTCCCATAGTGATATGGTCTGGGGAAGACGTTGTTTGACCTCTTGCTCTGCCGTAGCCTCTCTCGTGAGCGCCTCGCGAGGAGCGCCTTGTTCTGCAAACGGCCCTTGAGGGTCAAGGATGAGGCCTGTCCAGGCCTTCTTCTTCTTGCCTCGTTGAAGATCGCAGCCATCTGGAGCATGCGGAACCAACTCTTCTTGCGCGCTTGCCTCCAATGCATCCAAATTCTCCTGCAAGACGCAATGGGGGGGAGTAAGTCGCATTTGTCTATCCTGGCTTGGCCACCAGGAAGCTTGAGTCTTCTTGAGTCATACTTTGTGCGTTTCAAGTTTGTTGTGTTTAATCCTCCTGTCCGCCAGCAAGGTGACCGTCTGGAAGTTGGCGTCAGCGGCGTCACCCATTTTGAATCCTTCTTGATGCCTGCGTGGTCCACGTTGCTCTTGTTGCGCTTGATTGTCAAAACACGGCGGGGTCTTCTGTTGCACGCTTGTTTTCCAAGTTGCTTGTCGTGTTGGATTATACTGATATGTTCCAGTCGTCAGTAAGCGGCGGTCTTTTTGTTTTGCGTGATTTTGTTCCAAGTAGATCATGTAGTGATTGACCGTTGTCTGTGCTTTCCATAGATTGTCGTTGTTGCGTTTTGTCTTCCTGGCCGCCAGCAAGCTGGCCGCCAAAAAGCGGCGGTCTTTTGTTGCACGATTGCTTTCCATGTTGCTCTTCTC